AGACTCCAAGCGAGCCACAGGAGAAAATGTTTCATCAAAGTTTATTCCCTCAATTTGAGTGTACCCTTGAGCAACCAGTTTGGCTTTATTTCGAACGACACCTCCTTATTCATTTGTCTTGTTCTTATACACCCATTTTGTACCAATGATATTCATCCCTTCAGGTATTGGTACCAAATCCCAAACTTCATTTCTCTTGAACTGACCAAGCTCATCTTGCATAGCATTGATCCAGAATTCATCAGTCAAGGCTTCCTTCACATTTTTCAGCTTAATCTTTGACACAAAGCAAGCATTTAATATGGCTTCCCTTGACTTGGTAACTACTCCTTATCTAGGATTTCCTATTATCAGCTCCTTAGGATGATCCTTTTGAATTCTGAGAGAGGGTCCTTTGTCAGTTACTTGAGGTTCTTCAATTTCAGAATCAGCACTTGGATATGCATTATCTTAGGTAGATGTTGTGACATTTTTTCCAGGAACCACATCTTCAGTAGGAATAATTGTCTCAACTTCTTCTGCGACATCATCTCCGTCAGTTGAGTCATCAACAATAACATTTAAATACTCTATCATCACCTTGGTTCTAGAGTTGAATACTTTATATACTTTACTGGTAGTAGAGTATCCCTGAAAAATTCCTTCATCACTCTTAGCATCCAACTTCCTTCTTGGCTCACGGTCAGCCAAAATATAACATTCACTTCTAAAGACATGAAAGTACTTGAAAGCTAACTTTCTTCCTCTCCATAATTCATACAAAGTAACTGAAGTTCTAGTTTTGATTGTCACTCTGTTGTGAATATAGCAAGCAGTGTTCATGGCTTCAGCCCAAAAGTAAAGGGGTAATTTCTTGGCATGAAGCATAACTCAGGCACACTCTTGAATAGTCCTATTATTTCTACCAACCACACCATTATGCTGAGGAGTGATGGGTGAGGAAAACTCATGACTAATAGCTTCCTTTAATAAGATCTTCTTCATGCCGTTCAAATTTAGATGTCCAAGCTTTTGATGCCATATGCTTAATTTATCATCTTTTGATAATAAGCATGTTGAGAGACAATCTGAAGAATTCCATAGGTAGAAATTGTCTTTTGACCTGGTTCCCCTCATAACCACTTCATTCTTATCATTTGTAATCAGGCATTCAGATTGAGTAAAGTTAACTTTGAGACCTTGATCACAGAGTTGGCTGATACTTATCAGATTTGCTGTTATCCCATTCACAAATAACACATTATCTAGACTTGGTTGTCCAGCATAATCCACCTTTCCCACGCATTTTATTTCACTCTTTGACCCACCTCCAAAAGTTACATAGCTAGTGGCACGTGGTTTGATGTCCACTAGGAATCTCTTAACTCCAATCATGTGTCTGGAGCAACCACTATTAAAATACAAAACTTCTCTAATTTAGGCTTTGAGAGAAGTGTAAGCTATGAGTCCATATGAGTCATGGTGAAAGGCTCATCTTGACTTCGTCTTATAGTTATTATCTTTCCTTCTGTAAGGGAATCTATGGATGGGATATCCATATAGTTTGTATCATAAGGACTTTAAATATCGAAACCCTTCACAATAGTGACACCTCTATGGCTGATACATGGGACTATGATATCTTCCCTGATGTCTTTACTGATGTTGGAACATGTGCCTTGACATCTTCAGATCATGCTTCATCTTTTGAGGAACAAACTCCACTACTTGCTTATTGTTCATGATTTCGTTATTAAAACCAAGACGTTTCACATTCCCAGTATTCTTCTTTTTAAGATTTGCAATGATAGATAGATGCTCTTCTTTCTCAGCCTCTAGTTGAGTAATCACAAACTTTTATGTCAATACTTTCTAACACAGTCCTTCATTCTTAAGGCACAACTCTGAGTGCCTAATAGTTAGTTCACTAACAGTGAGTTCTCCAACATACGATTCTTTATCATATTAACATGATACTTTATCGGATCCATACATTCCAGTCAAGGCAGCCACCTGTTTGGCTGAATCTTCCTCGTGATCACTTTCAGATTCTCCATCAGACCATGATACATACAAATTCTTTCCTTGATTTTTGAGATAGGTGGCACATTCAGTTTTTATGTGTCATATCCCTCACACTCATGACACTGAACACCTTTACCTTGGTTTGGCTTTTCTTCAAATCTTGACTTCCTTCCCAGGTCCTAGTTTTTGTTGATGTTGTAAGACATGCTCTTAGCACCCAACCTGGACTTCCTCAACACCCTGCTAAATTTTCTTTCCAACAGCACGAGATCCTCAAACATTCCTTCTGAGTTTATGTTTCCTTTATCCTCTGAGTATTCAGCACTTGAAGCAAAATCTATGCTCTTATTCTTTTCAGACTTTTCATTTATAGCAGACTCAAAAGTCTTAAGTGAACTTACAAGTTCATCTACTGTCATCGTGCTTAAATCTTGGGATTCTTCAATAGCAATCACCTTCATTTCAAATCTCTTAGGAAGAGATCTAAGCATCTTTCTGACCATCTTATCCTCTGATATATTTTCTCCCATGTCTTTTGAGTCATTAGAAATATATAGAACAATCATGTGAAAGTCCTGGATACTTTCATCCTCATTCATCTTCAAGTTCTAAATTTGGAGGAGAGAAGTTGAAGCTTTACCAATTTAACCTTAGGATTTCCTTTATGCACCCTTATCAAGGTTTCCCATGTAACTTTTGCATGTTTTCAATTCTTTATCAACTTGAAAATATTTTTATCAACTCTATTGAATATGACATTCAGTGATTTGGAGTTTCATTGAGATAATGCCTCATCATTATCATCCCAATCTTCTTCAGGCTTCAGAACATCAGTAGCCTTCCCTACTGAATCCACAACCTTCAGTGGATCCCAACCTTTGAAACCATTTCTCCAACCCTTGTCACCCAAGGACTTTATAAAGATTTCCATACGAGGTTTCCAACTGTCATAGTTGGTACCATCCAGAATCGGTATTTTAACCACAATTCTACCATCCTTGTCTATTGCACCAGAAAGTAACTTCCTTGAATCTCACCCAGAGTCAGAGCAGGATGCCTGCTCTGATACCAATTGTAGTATAGGAAGTTGAGAAGTTGGGGAGGTTAGACAAACTAGTAGCTTATGTTGCATTCTATTTTTTTTTTGGAACAAGTTATGTCTTGGATGTTTTAATTTTATTTTAATTAATGTGTGACTCTTTTACTGCATATTTGAATGAATTAGTGTATCCGTTTGGCCTAAATTATCCTTAAATGAGTTAGTCTAAAAAACTTTCAATGTTATGACATTGTTGCTGGCTTGAAAGCATCCAGTAGAATTTTCGGAGATGCATCTCTAAATTTTTGTTGTCCTTTACCTTTAAACAATTTTAGGGAGTATTTCGGAGACGTATCTCCGAAAACTCCCTAGAATATTATGGAGATGCATCTCTTGTTAAAGTTTTGTTCAAAAAATGAGGGTAAATATGAAAGAGACAAAGAATTGTGTGATTTTAACGGAAATGCATCTTCGAAAGCATGAAAGAATGTTTGAATTTCTAGAGATGTGAGGCGCACCCCATTAAACGGAGGAACATTCCACCTCTAAAAACTTCTAAACTTTCTCTTGTGTTAAGACATCTACTTTCCATAATTAAAAAAAAAAGGTTTAAATAGTCTTTTGATCTCTGTAAGTCAATGATTTTTTATTTTAGTCCTTAAATTTTTTTTTGTCTAAAACCCTATAAGTCATTTTCTTGTTGGCATTAGTCATGTCGTCAAAATTTTGTTACAAAAAAACCTATGGAGCTAACGTTGTTGACGTGACAAACTTTTTATTTTATTTTTTATTTTTATTAAATTCCATGTAGACTAATTTATTATTACTTAATTATTTGAGTGTTAAATGATAAAACTTTCAAAAACAAGTCCAAAGGAGTTTCAAACCCTAGGCCTCTTACACATAATATAGATGCCTCTCCATTAAGCCACTTGTATTCTTTGTTTAATATTTGCAATGCATATGTATATATATTACATATATATTATATAATGAATATATGTTTAATTCTTTCTCTTTCCAATACCATTGCATTCTTCTTATTCTTATTTGGTATATAAAATCTAGTATGAGTTGCTGAAATCAAATTATGAGATCAATAAGAGAAAAAATTTAGATAAGTTGGATTTGTTGTTAGAATCAACGAGAGAAATATTTTGGATATGTTGTTAAGGTTGAATCTATTTGATTATTGGATTTGTTGTTAGAAGTAACAAGAGAATTTTTTTCACCATGAACAAGTGTTGAATTGTCCTCCATTTGCAATGCTTCTTCTTCCTCTGCACCTTAATTATGGATTGTTTCTATGAAAGTTGAGGATGAGAAAATTTTGAGCTTATATAGTCTTGTCGTCCTTATAAGTCTACGTGTTTTTTGTTTTAATCCCTAAATATATATATTTTTTGCTTTAGGTCTCTAATTTTGGATTCACAATAAAAAATTGTAAATTAATAGTGCATCTTCAAAATTCTTGACATACATTAGAAATTGAAATATTTAATTAATAAGTATTCAATTTTCTACTTCGTATGCCTTCTTTATTATAACTTGACAATGAAATAAACTTCAACTCGAGATAATTTTATTTACCTAAACCCATAAAAACTAAAGAAAATCTAACTTTGTGTGGAAGCAGAAATCAATTTTAAACATCAAGTTTAAAATATATAAATTTTGGTGCATATGTTAAACAAAGGAAAGATATGAATGAGTGATAAAGACAAAGTTGTTTTAACCAAAGGGGTGGATTTATTTTGTTAAATTTGCCATTCACACGTGGAACCAATCAAATTAATTGTATGTTCCACGTAATTATGTAGCAGCAATAAAAAAAAGACATGGCCTTCCCCCTCTTGCTAAAAAAAACCCAATTAGTAATTCAACACCTGCCATGTTGGTCAAGATTATAGAGAGAAGTATAAAAATTGAAAGCAATCTCAAAGCCAAGCATAGATTTTCACCGACCATTAAGCGATGTAATGGTTAATTCCTCATTTGAACTGATTTCATTTTGAGTTCCTTCATCACAAAAAGCTTTCCTTGGAAAGAACCCTGGCTCTTTAGGCTTAGCCAATTCCATTTCACTACCTAGCATTTGAACTATAGATGTCATTGTAGGCCTGTCCTCCGGGTATTGTTGCACACACAACAGACTCACATGAATGCATCTCAATACCTCTGACACAACACATGATTCCTTTATTCTTAACTCAATCAACTCTAACGCTTTTCCTTCTTTCCAAACTGTCCATGCCTGCATAATAAATAAAAATACTAAGACTCTGTTTGGCTAAACAGTTTAGTTTGCAAGTAATAGCATGAACACTTATATATAAGTTATTTCTATAAGTTGCTTACATAAGTTTAACCAACAACCTCACAAATACTTAATGTTAGTAGATAAATTCAAATAATTCAATTCAAATAGATCCTTATTCACATTTCAAATTCAACATTGATAAATATGTAATTGCTTACATAGCCAACAAGGTTAAGTGTCTTGTTTTCATGATAAAGTGCTCTATTTTTGTTCCCACATATAATCTCCAATAGTAAAACACCAAAGCTGAAAACGTCTGATTTGATTGAAAATTGTCCATCAGGAGTATACTCTGGTGCCATGTATCCGCTGGTAGAAACAATTAGAACAACAATATTCACATATAAGATAAAAGTAAGTAATATCAAACTAGAGAATCTTGCATTTGTCATGGTCAAAGAGTGTCAGTGACTTATCCAAAGAGTGTCTCTTGAGAATCTTCACATATATTCAGTGACTTATCCAAAGAGTGTCTCTTGAGAATTAGATAATAAGAATGAAAAAAAATTAATTTACCAGCAGTTCTCCTTCGGATTCTATATATGACATATATGCAAAATAAAACATCCCAGAAATTGCAGCAGCAGTCCATGAAGTATCATTTTCTCTCTAATTTAGTCCATGAAGTATCATTTTCTCTCTAATTTAGTATCTAAAGTATATAGATTAAGGACTAAAATGATTATTTATTTATTTTCTTAAATATTTTGATTTGCAGGTTTGACTGTAACTGGATTATATAAGATGCCATGTCCAAGTAACGAAATGGTAGACTGTGAAAGAACTAAACATGGTAAACTCTCACAGAACAAGAATCTCGTTTACATTTCTGTATTTATTATAAAGTTTTCGACATTCATGTACAAAAGCATTTGAACACTAGTCCTTTATTAGTTACTTTGTTTACTATGGAATTATTTCTCCTTGACTGCAATATTATGTACAACTATTTTATTGATTTTTACCGAACACTTAAAGTAGTTATGGTCATTTCATAGTTTGAACTATTATCCTTCCCACTTGAATTCGAATTTGCTTCAATAGATTCCTTCCTTGTGATAAAACTTGGCTCCTTAGGATCATCCAATGCCATTTCACTCCCTAGCATTAGAATCACATCAGCCATGGTAGGCCTATCTTCTGGGTATTGTTGCACACATAAGAGTCCTACATGGATGCAACGCGATACTTCAGATACAATGCATGAATCCTCTATGTTCGAGTCAATTATTTGCAAAGCTCTTCCGTGTTTCCAGAATGTCCATGCCTAAATCATAACAGAAGAAAATTGTTATTTAACAAAAAAAATCTAGTTAGTAATAAATAAACTTTTTACACGAACAAATTAACATTTGTCCCTGCGCTTACATAAGCAACAAGGTTAAGGGTTTGCTTAGCACGATTAAGCACTCGGTTTTTCTTCCCGCATATAATCTCTAATATTAAAACACCAAAGCTGAAAACATCAGATTTCGAAGAAAACTGTCCATCAATAGCGTACTCTGGTGCCATATACCCACTGCAATAAACCAGTGAGAAAAAAATATAAAAATATACGTCATATGTGTAAAAATAAACTATGGTGTTTTGGATAGTTAAACACTTACTATGTCCCCACAATCCTATTTGTGTTTCCTTCAATTTGGTTTCCCCCAAAAGTTCTAGCCATTCCAAAATCTGATATTTTTGGATTCATAGTATCATCCAGTAAAACATTACTTGCTTTGAGATCTCTATGGACAATCCTCAATCGAGAATCTTGATGAAGATACATAAGCCCTCTAGCAATACCACATATTATGTCGAAACGCTTTGGCCAATCTAGCAGTTGACTTTTGGTACGATCTGCATAATTCATAACAAACATGTCATGAAATATTGAATATTGAAAGTTTATAATAAACTTTCACTAATCACTATATCATAAAACACTAGTGAGTTTAAATATAAAATTTATTGAGGTTACATACCAAAGATGAGGTAGTCTAGGCTACCATTAGCCATGTATTCATAAACTAGCAATTTTTCGTGTTTCTGAATGCAACAGCCAATAAGCTTTACAAGATTTCGATGCTGAACATTTGCAATAAGTTTTACTTCATTAATGAACTCTCTCATCCCTTGCTTTGAGCTCTGTGAAAGTCTCTTTACCGCAATTTCTAGCCCACTTCCTAATTTTCCCTGGATAATCATTAATCACATTCATATGGTTAGATGTTCTTTATGATTACTACTTTTCTAACTATTCTTACTTAGTAATAGTAATCATGTTCCAATATTGAGTTACCATATAAACTAGTCCAAAACCACCTTCTCCGATTTTGTTCTTCTTTGAGAAGTTGTCAGTGGCAATAATAATTGTCGAGAAATTAAGCAAGGGCAGATCCTGATCATCCATATGTCTTTCATAGTCACTTTCTGCCAGTGACTTCCCTGGTAAATAGAAAAAATAATAATTCAGAACTATGTAGACGATGCCACTTTTCCAGTGAGATATTAGAGAATGGAAGAATAGATTTACCAACAATGACCCTCCTGAATCTGTAGGAAAAGTAAATAGCAAGTAAAACCATTCCCAAAGCTGCAGAAACACTAATTACAAGTTTTTTTCTCAGGTTCCTCCTGTGCTCGACTTCACATAAACAAAACAACTTAAATTAAACTTCATATTCAAATACAAGGCTTAAACTTTAATGGTGAAATTAATGAAGTATTCACCTAATTCTGAAGCAGGCATTCGGATATACAGAACTTGATCACCTACTGGAAAAAGTTTGATATCAATTAATTCACCAAACCACATAACACAGCCACTTCCTGCTCCACTTATATTTGTATTTCTATAGGCCATGCAGGAACAAATTTTCAAGCATCTGTCTCTACATTGTTCTAGACCAATACTCTCGTCCACGCTAGTATTTGTAGTGTCTGGAACTTTCAAGCCTGTCATTGAGACAAATCCATCACTGGTGCAGTTCAATGGAGGCTTTCTGACACACCCTCGGGACCAGTCCATTGAGTTCCATTTTTCAGGAAACTTAGGCTCGAACCCTTTTAAACAATCACATACTGGTGAATTAGTAATGCTGCAATATCCATTGTTTCCACATAGACCATAACCGTCACAATAGTCAACTGGCATTCTTGAATGAAGCATCCATGATTTGTCGGATTTTGACCATGTATAGCGAGGACGTCCCTTACTGGTTTGGTTAAGTACAACTTTTGATATTAGAGAACTATCGCTGCTGTTCCATGAGTAATAAACCTCTTCTTTATTGTTGACAAAGTTGTAACTGAATACAGGATTAGGCTTCATCTCTGGCATGCCACTAAAACGCAAGCCGTTCCATGGTCCAAGTCTGTGGAGCTTTGTTTCTCCCTCCATCATATAGATATCAGGATACGGATTCAATACCACGCCCCAAGTAAAGTCTCCTGGTGTTGGATCATCATCACTCTTCCATGCTGTGAGTCGCCTATTCAAATTTCTTTTAAGGTCCCATCCCAACTTCATACCTGTTGGAATTTAGAAGAAGATATAAAATTAAGTTGTTTATCAAAACAAAATCCTAGATAGAATTAGAGACAACACAATATCATGATTTAAGAACTAGACCATCAATCTTAATCATACCTGCCAACAATGTGTTAGATGGGTAGTCAAAGCTTTGCCACAGATAGGTTTCGTCGACACTATCTTCTTCTTTTATGACAAGATTACCAGTATCCAAGAGTTGTGCCACTGGTTTCTGTGCTTTTGTCGAAGAATTTGTGAACCAAACAACCTTGTTGTTGTGAGTAAGGACCAAACTGCCAGAACTGTTTAGCTTCAAAACTGCAGAAGAGTCGTTGATTGGCTGGCCACCATTCGCAACCCAGACAACATTTTGAGTTGAAATATTCTTGAATTGAATTCCGAGGTAGCGTTTGTTTGGATTCTTAAGATTAAAGAAAACAAGCTCAAATAATCCCTTTGGTGAACTGACGGTATCTCCATCTCTGATGAATTGAGATGGAGTAATGGATTTGAAATCGCCTGCTATGGAACTGGAAATTGTAAGAGAAAGAACAAATAGAATATAAGTAATGAAACTCATTACAAAACGAATAAAAGAGTTAGAGCTTAAAACATTTATATTAAAGGAAAGAAAAACTGAAACTCTATATATATATATATAGATTTAGAAGTCATGCATGAAAAATGCAGTCAAGTCAACTGTTATACAAACAACATATGTTTTAACAGATACTTTGTTGAACTAAGGAAACAAAGCATATACTAATGTGATATTCTCCCATTTTGTTGGAATAGTAAATACAAAGATTCTCTAAAGAATTTGCAACGGAATCTACCGTTGTTTACGCGTTATGTAACCTGAATGGCTGAAAAATGATAGACTTGAATATTATGGTTGGTTCAAACTTTACAGTCACTGTCGATATGCAAAAGACAAAATCATGAAAATCATTGGAAGTTTGTAAAGTTTGAACAGTTTGTGATTCTTTGTTCTACCTTAACCAATTTTCTTGACAGAGACTCAGAGAGAATACTAACTTGTTATGGGGTTTAAAAAGTCAAGGAAACTATAAAGTTTAACATGTAAAGTGATGGTGAAACCTTGGACCACCAAACGTTTCACGATTATCTTGAATGGTTGTATTGTAGTGGAGAAGAAGCCATGCAACTTCTGAGAGGCTTGAAGAGAGTTTGAATATGACCATATGAATGTAAAAAAGAATAAGAGAGTTAAAAAAGAATGAGATTTTTATCTTTTTTTTGTGTGCGGATGTGTAAACTCTCTTTACATGAAGATGATTGATTCTGCCTAATGATAGAAAATTGAGATCTAACTTTCATATTGCATGAACATCATGTGGTCTTTAAATACTCTCAACCAACTTCCATTTGCATATGTAACTTCTTCCTTTAATTGTTCAAATGGGATGCCACTTTCTTTCAATTTGAATGAATAATTTACTTTGAAACGAGATCTGTAAATTTTAGATATGACCTTCTAAATATTAATTTTCGAATGTAGTTTAAAATTGACATTTTATTAAGACACCTTGTAAAATTGGTGTGTTTTTGTATATACATCATGACTAATTGTTACTAAATTTAAAAAACTTAGACATTTTTCAAATAGCATGATTGCATATAATTAAGCAATAAGTAGTTCTTAAAAAAAATATTAGATGAGTTGGTTTTAGTGATAAAATTAATATTATTTATTATAATATCGTTATTAATTGTAGTCAGTAGAATAGTTGAATAAAATAAAAAGTAATAAATAAGAAGTAATGAGAAAATAATAATAAATAATATATTGATATTATAAAGAGATAATTATTTTGAGAAAAAAAATGCAAATAATGTTCTATTTATAAA